CTTTTACACTGGTCAAACTTGTTATGCCAGTCTCCCTAGGGAAAGTAAATATTTTCTCTAGCGAAACTATTGTAGAGGTAAGAGGAGCAAAATGTGGAATTAACAAGTGAGAGGAGTCTTCAGATTGCCTCCTCGACAAATAACGTTGATTTATTTAGAAAAGTAAACTTAGACACTATTGGTTTCATAACTGGCCAAAATAAATAAACTTGCTGGCTGATTGCTAACAGTGTTTAAGTTTTAATAACAAGACTAACTGATGTCTCAATTATAGAATCATTTTGTTCAATTTTAGTAATTTTTTTTTCCAGGGATTTGATCTATATGTGGAGAAAAAGAACCACAAAAAAGTTGAAAGAGTCTTTATAATTTCAATTAACATATCCCTTTATTTTACAAGTGAGAAAACTATGGCTCACCCAGATAATGTAACTGGCCCAAAGTCTTCTAATGATTGGGTGTCAATTGCATTAAATCCTAATTTTCTGATACTCAACTAGAGTTATTCCTGCTACTTCTCAAGTACCAGGGTATTTATGGGTTTTGAGAGCTACAATTTGTGCTGAAAAAACTGCCAAGCAAAATACTGTTACCACTTTTATTAGTTAGTTGATTATAACATGTTAGGTGACAATGGCAAGTGGGACCTCACAATTGAGATATATTTTGTCCATTCACTTTTATTGTTTCCTGGTTTTATGTGTTTGGAAATATGTTTACAAATTTGTTAATCATGATTGGAAAATGTATATTTTTACCACAGTGACTTTATAAATCTTATACAATAAACTAAAGTTATCAAGCATTTATATAGTGTTTACCATGTAGTGCTTGCAGTTTGAAGCATTTTACATATATATTCACTCATTTAACACTCAAGAAGGGAACACTAAGGCAAGAAAGGGTAAATAATTTGCCCAAGATTATAGTTAGAGACAGAGCAGGTGTCAAAGTCAGGTCTGGTTTCAGGAATGATTGAGTCTTATTTCAGTGATGTCTGTTATAATTTTTTTAAGTGCCTATGAAGTCATCAAGCTAAAAGGATATACCAACTGGGCTATTGGATTAAGTGTGGCTGATCTTATTGAATCCATGTTGAAAAATCTATC